CGGAAGTTTATGACAATTATGAGAATTAGAACAACAACGTAGTTACTGTGCAACAATAATCACATTAATGTGAGGGGGTAAGTTTAGGGTTGGGTTAAGGGTAGATATTAACAAAAATACAATTAATAAATAATTTAATACAACATTCTGATTGTAAATACTGTTTTTACATTACCCTGAGGATTAGGTTTTTGGGTTGGTATGGGGTGGATGTTAAAACAATACAATTAATAGGTAATTTAATAAATAATATAGATAATTATTGGTATAAATGCGCTTTTACATTACTGTGAGAGTTGGGTTATGGGTTGGATTGAAGTGGGTGTCAATAAAATACAATTGATGGGTAATTTAATAAATAATATAGATAATTATTGGGATAATTGTTGTTTTTGGGTTGGGTTCAGGGTCTGGGGATGGTGATAGACACTAATAAAATACAATTAATGGGTAATTAAATACAGATATCTCATTATAATTACTGCTTTTAAATTACTGTGAGGGGGTAAGTTTAGGGTTGGGTTAGGGGTAGATGTTATTAATCACAATTAATAAGTAGATTAATAAAACATTCTCATTATAAATACTGTTTTTATATTGTTGTGAGGGTAATTTTTGGGGTGGGATTTGGGGGGTGTCATTAAAATTCAATTAATGGTTAATTTAATAAATACTTTAGATGTTTATTGGTATATTTATTGTTTATTTGGGTTTGATTTAGGGTTTGGGGTAGGGGAAGATATTATTAAAATGCAATTAATAAGTAATTTTTTACAACATTCTGATTGTAAATACAGAATTACATTACCTGGGGATTCAGTTTTTGGGTTGGTATGGGGCGGATGATAATAAAATACAATTAATAGGTAATTTAATAAATAATATAAATAATTATTGGTATAAATGCGCTTTTACATTACTGTGAGAGTTGGGTTTTTGAGTTGGATTGGAGTGGGTGTCAATAAAATACAATTGATGGGTAATTTAATAGGTAATATAGATAATTATTGGGATAATTGTTGTTTTGGGTTGGGTTCAGGGTTTGGGGATAGTGGTAGACACTAATAAAATACAATTAATGAGTTATTAAGTACATAATTCTCATTATAATCACTGCTTTTAAATTACTGTGGGGGGGTAAGTTTAGGGTTGCGTTAGGGATAGATGTTATTAAACGCAATTAATAAGTAGATTAATAAAACATTCTCATTATAAATACTGTTTTTATATTGTTGTGAGGGTTATTTTTGGGTTGGATTTGGTGGGGTGCTAATAAAATACAATTATTACTTAATTTAATTAATAATATAGATAATTAATGGTAGACCTCTTGTTTTTTTGGGTTGGATTAAGGGTTTGGGGTGGGAGAAGATATTAATAAAATGCAATTAATAAGTAATATATTACAACATTCTGATTGTAAATACTGTTTTTACATTACCCTGAGGACAAGGTTTTTGGAGTGGTATAGGGTAGATGTTTATACAATACAATTAATAGGTAATTTAATGAATAATATAGCTAATTATTGGTATAAATGCGCTTTTACATTACTGTGAGAGTTGGGTTTTTGAGTTGGATTGGAGTGGGTGTCAATAAAATACAATTGATGGGTAATTTAATAGGTAATATAGATAATTATTGGGATAATTGTTGTTTTTGGGTTGGGTTCAGGGTTTGGGGATAGTGGTAGACACTAATAAAATGCAAATAATGAGTAATTAAGTACATAATTCTCATTATAATCACTGCTTTTAAATTACTGTGGGGGTAAGTTTAGGGTAGGGTTAGGGGTAGATGTTATTAAACGCAATTAATAAGTAATTTATTACAACATTCGCATCATAAATACTATTTTCATATTGTTGTGAGGGTTATTTTGGGGTTGGATTGGGTGGTGGTGTTATTACAATACAATTAATGGTTGATTTAATAAATAATATAGATAATTATAGGTATACTTATTGTTTTTTGGGTTGGGTTTAGGGTTTGGGGTAGGGAAGATGTTAATAAAATGCAATTATTAATTAATTTCATAAAGCATACTGATTATAAATACTGTTTTTCGATTACTGTGAGGGTTGGGTGGTTTTGGGGTTGGTATGGGGTGGATGTTGATAAAATACAATGGATACTTTTATAAATAATATTGATAATTATTGGTATAATTATTGTTTTGGGTTGGGTTTAGGGTTTGGGGATAGGGGTAGATGTTAATAAAATTAAATTAATGGCTAATTGAATAAATAATATAAATAATTCTTGTGAAGGTGAAGCAGTGGCGCAGTAGGTAGTGCTGTCGCCTCACAGCAAGAAGGTCGCTGGGTCGCTGGTTCGATCCTCAGCTCAGATGGCATTTCTGTGAGGAGTTTGCATGTTTTCCCTGTATTCACGTGGGTTTCCTCCGGGTGCTCGTGCTCCAGTTTCCCCCACAGTCCAAAGACATGCGGTACAGGTGAATTGGGTAAGCTAAATTGTCCGTAGTGTATGAGTGTGTGTGTAAATGCGTGTGTGGGTGTTTCCCAGAGATGGGTTGTGGCTTGAATGGCATCTTCTGCGTAAAAACCTGCTGGACAAGTTGGCGGTTCATTCCGCTGTGGCGAGCCTGGATTAATAAAGGGACTAAGCTGACAAGAAAATGAATGAATGAATTCTTGTGAACTTGTCTCATTTATAGCCACAGCTGTATCCCTTCTAGCTTTAAGCCTCACACTACACAGTCAAGCACTCCAGGTAGATGAATTGTGTGTGATGATCATTAAAAGCAATGCAGCACACAGCGAACACCAGTGTAATTCCTGATGGCTGCGGTGCATCAGAGATGACGGTTCTGAACTCGTCATGGGTTTCGGATTTCGATTGCGAATGTTTCTCGGCTTGTCATATAGTTGTGTGGGATTTAATGGCGTGTCTTTCTGGTGAAGCAGCGGCTGGCAGCAATAATGCTAACAACCGTCCCGACAAGATTTTTTTTAGCCTCCAGTTACTGAAGTAAACTTTTATATACTGCAGTAAAAGTTGCAGATGGAAGTTTAATGAAGACTGTTGAGAAGCTGGTATTTACATCAGCATGAAATACTGATAAAAAAAACACAAAACTTTTCATAATTTTAATTTAACACAGTCTTTCTTTGAAATTTTTTCCTTAAAACAAGCCAAATAATCTGCCAATTACGTAAACAAAATAATTATATGTCGAAGCAAAAACTAGATTATTTTGCCTTCCCATTGGCAGATGTATAACTAGTTTTATGAAATGAAATTTTATATACTTGCAAAACTCACTGTGTGCTGGCACCTCCATATAAAAGCGCATATTTTTCCATCATGCATGTTCACAGCCGAGAGTAAGAGCAGCGCGTCAAGCAGGAGCGGTGTGTGAGATGTGCCGGGATGTTTTCTGTGTGCATGTGTCAGTTTGCTTTTGCAGTGTCACGCGCGAACTTAAGAGCAGGAGTGGGGGGGTGTTAGGTCGATCGAGAACTGAAGAGCGGGGGACGGGGGGTGGTGGGGATGGCGGTGTCACGTGCGAACCTAATAGCGGGAGTGGGGGGGGTGTTAGGTTGATCGAGAACTGAAGAGCGGGGGTGGGGGTTGGGGGGGTGGTGGTGTCACGCGCGAACTTAAGAGCG